ACTGTCACAGGATTTCTCAACAGAAACTATGCAGGCCAGAAGGGAGTGGCAAGAAATATTCAAAGTGATGAATAGCAAGAACCTACAACCAAGATTACACTACCCAGCTAAGCTATCATTTAGAATTGAAGGTCCGATAAAGAGCTTCACAGACAAGAAAAAAGCTAAAGGAGTTCATCACCACCAAACCAATATTATATGAAATGCTGAAGGGTATTATTCTCTAAGAAAAGGAAGAAAAAGCTAAAGATAAAAATTATAAACAACAAAGTGACAACAAATACATATCTATCAACAAGTGAATCTAAAAATCAAGTGAATAAAAAATCTGAAGAACAGAATAAACTGGTGAATATAATAGAATCAGGGGCATAGAAAGGGAGTGGACTGACAGTTCTTGGGGGGAAAGGGGGCGTGGGGGGTACAGGAAGAGCTTGGATAAAAATCTTACACCTATGGTGAGGACAATGGGGGGCGTAAGGGCATGGGGTGGGTGGGAACTGGGTGAAGGTGAGCTATGGGCGGGGGGAGGAACAACTGTAATAATCTGAACAATAAAGATTTATTTAAAAAAAGAAAACCCCCCAACCTGATTTAAAAGCAGTCCAAAGATCCTAACAGACACCTCACCAAAAAAGATATGCAGATGACAAGTAGCATATGAAAATATGCTCCACATCACATGTCGTCGGGGATATGCAATTTAAAACAAGACATTACCAGTTAGATAGCAAATGCTGGTGAGCATGCAAAGCCACAGGAACTCTCATGCATTGCTGGAGGGAATGCAAAATGGCAGAGCTACTCTGGAAGACAGTTTGGTGGTTAAAACTAAACATACTCTTACCATATGACCTGCCAATTGTGCTCCTTGATATTTACCCAAAGGAGTTGAAGACTTATGTTCACACATGGCCCTGCACACACATGTTTATAGTAGCTTTATTGCCAAAACTCGGAAGCAACCAAGATGTTCTTCAGTTGGTAAATAGGTGAATAAACTGTTGTATACCCAGGCGATGTTAATATTATGCAGCACTAAAAAGAAATGAGCTATCAAGTCATGAAACAACATGGAGCAAACTTACATGAATAGTATTAAGTGGAAAAAAAACAATCTGAGAAGGCTACATACTGTATGTTCCAATTCTATGACTACCTGAAAAAAGCAAAACTAGGGACACTATAAAAAGATCAGTGGTTGCCAAGGATTGGGGAGCAGCGGGAGAGATGAACAGAGAACAGAGAATTTTTAGGGCAATGAAAATGCCCCGTGTGATATTACACTGATACATATATGTCATTATACATTTGTCCAAATCCACAGAATGCACAGCGCCAAGAATGAGCCCTAAGGTAAACTATGGACTTTGGTTGATTATGATGTGTCAGTGTAGGTTCATCCTGGGTAACCCATGTGCCATTCTGCTGAGTGATGTTGCTAATGGGGAAGGCTATGCATTGCTGGAGCAGGGGGTATGTAAATGGAAAATTTCTGTACATTTCTTTCAATTTTGCTGTGAACTCAATACTGCTTAAGAAAAAATAAAGTATTTAAAAAGGAAACAGCCCAGAGAGCTGAAGGCAGGATGTCGAAGGGCCCTTCCCAGGGCAGACCACTGTCTGCAGTGAAACAAGCCTCTCCCTGCCCTAGCTGGTTTGGCTCAGTGGAAACAAGCCTCTCCCAGTAGAGTCTCTCGCAGCAAAGGCAGGGGTTCTGTGCATGCCGGGCCCAGGGCCTCTGCTGCCGGTCACATCTCCCTGTCTCGTTTCAGTTTAAAAGCTGCCTCCCTGTTACACTTCACCCCTGATGAAGCCACTGCTGCCTTCAGGAGCAGCTGGGCTCCTTTCTGCCAGGTGTGTTTCGTCTGATCACGGGTAGTCAGCATGGAGGGAAACGCAGAACTAAAAGGCTCTCTGTGTTTTGGGGAGCTGTGAAAATCTGGGGCCGGGCAGGTGGGCTCCAAGCAGCATTCCCAGAAATAGCAACAGAGGGATCCTTTAAAAAGCCCGTTGTTTTCCTTTTGCTTTAACATAGCTACTAGGGCTTTTGTTCTCGACAGAGAGATCTATGTATTCCCCTTTCCTCGTTGCTCAACAATGTAGCAGAGCCAGCACACCTCAGTCAACCTCTCTCTGCCTCAATTTACCCATTTGTTGCAAACTTTGCTCTGTGGGAATCACGTCATTTATGCAGTGAGGAGGAAGAGATGAGAGGAAAATGAGATACAAATGAAGAGCTTCTTTTTCCTTATTTTAATCGATGGCCAGAAGGTCAGCAGCAGCCCATGTCTAAAACTCAGCTGCAGAAGAAACCCAGTGAGATGATGCTAGCAGGGCCCTGGACCGGGCTGAACAGAGACAACCAACATGGTTCCATCTTGATCCCTTCACAACTAGTACTCACTGGGAGCCGCTCCTCAAGGCCAGGCCTCGTGGGCTGACCTGGGCGTCAGATGGAAATGATTTGGGCACATCCGGTATGGCCTGAATTTGATCCTTTGGGTAAGATCTGAAAAAGAAAAGGAGGAGAAAGAAGGCAAACCGATTCCCTTAAAAACTATGCATACTGAAAGCTTGATATTTAACGCTCACCCCTTAGAGCTGTGTTCCTAACTCTGGGTTTGTAAGACACAACATGTTTTTCCCCCTAATCCTTTCCAAGAATGCATTCCATAAATTGTTAGCATCCCTGCCAATGGCCCCAGTAAACTCACATACCAGCTTTAAAGTCAGCCCCTTTTAAACCAATGCATCAGCCCTTTGAGTTAAGGGGATATTATTTCCAGATCCCATAGCTGCTAGCTTCTTTTTAAAGTTGCAAATGATCGTGCTTCTTTGTTGCTGTTCATTTTTAGAGAGAAATCGATCCTGTGGCAGCAGCCCATGTATACAGTAGCTGTGACATCCTCCAAGGCCCCTGAGCACACTCTGAGATAACCTGACACCTCCTTGTACGAGCTCAAAACTCTCCTTGTTCCGATAGGCCAAGTGCTTCCCATATATGTGACTGTGCCATTGCTATTATTACTTGCTTTATAATAGAGAGGTAATGAAATTTGGTGGCTTAACACATGGGGTCCAGAACTAAGCTGCCTAGGTTTGAAGCTCAGCTCTACCACTTGTTGCTGCATGACCTTGAGCAACTTGCTTAACCTATCTGTGCCTCGGTTTCCTTTTCTATAAAATAAGAATGACAATAGTGTCTACTTCATACGTAATATACATAAGGCAGGTAAGCATGGCTTGCACAGAAGTTCCACACAAGCGCTAGTGACTATTACACAATTTTCCTAGGTAGGGCTTGCACCATCGGGGACTGCTCTAATGACCTTCAACCATCAAGATGGAAAATGTCTAGGAGGATCTGGGGACAAGTTAAACTGCTTGCAAAGAACACAGGGAAACATGCCTAGTGACTGTGGCCCCTCTGGGTCACAAAGGATGAAGGAGAGTCACAGATGACATGGGTCAGAGAGGGCCACAAAGACAGTCAGGCCCCACCCTCATCTTAGAGCCTCTTGTTGACAAGTTGAGGGCAAAACTGGTGGCAGCCCCTAGGTCTCTCAGTCTCCTATCCCCAGACCAAGTTCTTCCCATTGCCCGGTGCTGATCTCATAGGGGAGAGATGTCACTCCTGGCACGGTCCTCATCGCACCTAGGGTCTGCCTTCCCACACACTCGGGGAGTTGATCTCCCTGTGTCTTCTCCCTGGTCTGATTCCCTTCACATCCCTTTGCCAGAATAGTTTTGCTTCAAATACAAATGTCTCTCATCCTGCTTCAATGTTTAAGGGTGTGCTGGGCTTCTCTTCTGGAAGTGATGTGGCTTTGGGCGTGCCTCTGATTTTTATGGAGACTAAGAGAATCGGTACCATTACTTCTCTTCTTTTAATGCCACTTCTTATTCTCTCCAGTGCTTAATAATTTGCTTTCCCAAAAGGTAAGCAATAAATGCTAAATTGTCAACAAATGGGACATTGAGACCCTGAAAAGATTCCTTGATGTGTGTATCTATATCTATGTCCATGTCCATGTCTATGTCTTCGTCTACATCTATGTATATGTCTACATCTATGTCTATATCTATATTTACGTCTAGGCTTATGTAATATCTATATCTATATCTATATATCTGTCTATACCTACATCTACATCTACATCTACATCTATACCTGTATCTATATCTGTATCTGTATCTGTATCTGTATCTGTATCTGTATCTCTCCAAGGCTACATGGTGAGTTAGTAGCAGGTTCAGGACAAGAGCACAGACATCCTGTTTGTTTTGTCTATACCTAATGGGAGTGGGGTATGAATGGATAACACATCCCCTCAGGTGTTATGGAAGGTATGCTATTTGACCATGTAAGTCACCCATGACATGTGGTAGAAACACCAAAGGCAAAATTTATGATCACGCACCAATGGGATGGCAGAGACGGAAAAGGACAAGTTGACTAGCAAGAAGGAGCTGAATTGGAAGTCAGGAGATTACGCGATTGTGAATAGAAGATGTGAGGAGTAGAAGCTGTCCTTAATGAAAGAATCATTAATAAAAGTCCCTAGAAGCTCCATATCTCTGGAAGCCTATGCAGCTAAGAGATTACACACCTTTTGGAGGAACCTGCAGGCCCACTAGCAGCAGCCTCCTCACTCCCATGCACAACCTGAGCAGAATAAAGCTGATGTGCGCCTTCTTCTAACCCAAGATGGCCAGATTCTCAAAGACCGTGACGCTGCTCCAGCAAAGCTACTTTTTGATGAACTCAATGAGACTTGAGCCATCATCTGAGCCAGCGCAGTTCCAACCATTCCAAGGTTCTGATGAGCACCACACGGGCTGGGGGAGGAAGCGGGGAGCTGAATGGGCAGGGTCCTGGGACCCCCCTCCTCCAGTTCCAATGGGGAAACTCTGCTTTCAAAGAAAATGTTCCCATTTAGAAAGAAGAAAACCATGAGCGAGAGCACTGTCTGAGGCAATGAAGCCTCAGAGTTGAAGTGACCGGCCACAGGCCATTCAGCTCATTGGTGCCAGAGCAAATCTTGGTCTCCCAGTGCCAGATCCTTCGCATCTCCCCGAGCTGTGCTACTACCTGTCTCATATACATATATGTCTCAATAATAACTCTACAGAATGCTCAGATGATGTTTTATAAAAGAATTAGGAAAGAAAGCACCCAAATCTCCATAAAATGCAGACAATATTATCACCAATACTCCAATGAGACAAAGATACCTCCATACCCAGCTTGCAAGTGTCCTGTTCTCTCTCCTCCAACCCTCAGAACAACCCTTAGTACAATCACCCAATCGCTGCCCTTGTTTCTTTTTCAAGAGAGAACCTTCCTCAGCTTTAGCACCCCTTTCCTCTGTCAAAACAAGGGGGAATCTGCCGCCAATAATTTTTATCTGTGGTTCAATTTACTGACCCCTTTTTCATTGCCAGTGAGTGTCTTCAGTATACTCTGTTCCTTAGTGGTATTTGCTTTTAAAATTTTATCTCTAATGATTTCACAAAAATTTATATCCCTTATTAAAGGAATTTCAGGCATCTGTGATGGAAGAAGGGGGGAGACACTTTTTCTTAGTGGTTCGGAAGATGGTGTGATCATATTAGGTATTCATTCAAGGTATCCTGAAGATGGCCAAAGAGCAAATTATATTTTGATCTCTCACAGGCGGAAATCTCCACGTAATAATTTGGGTCTGTGAGCAGAACTTGAAGCATCCCTGGTTGACTTTTCAACTGCACGCTATCTCAAAAGCCCTTGCCTGCATTTGCCAGAATTCTGCCTGGTAGGGAGAGATACATAGGTAGCTGTGGGGCCCTCTGCACACCCCCCTTCTCCTAGTCCACAGAAAATTTTAACTTTCCCCTCCCTTTGCCAACTCCCCTGTGGTCTCAAGTGTTCCAGGAAATGAGGAATCATTCTTTATTTCTTGCTTCATAAGGAGAGGGAGCCATGTGACTCCCTGTGGAAGGGAGTAGTGAGGTGGGGAGCCTGCTGAGGTCCTGGCTCAGGATTCCTGAGGGAGGAGCCAGCTCTGTCCCTTGCCCCTTAGTGTGCCACCCTGGAAACTGATTCAACTTGGCACAGCTCCACAGCAGAGCGCCCCCTTCCCCTCTTCTTCCTCACCCCACCCCCCTTCACTGAGCTCTTCCCGCCCTCTGCCCGGGGCTCCTACTTTCATTCCTTCTATCTTCTGGCATTTTTTTTTCACGTTGTTTTCCTTTGTACTTAATAATAGCTCCACATTTTCTTTTTTATCGGAAATCAAGAATCATGCCTGTATCATGTGTTCACTTTGGGAATAAAATTTATGGCAACACTTGCCATTGGATTAATTGCTTTTCATTAGCTTCAGACTTCTTAATGATTACAAATTGTTTGCCTGGACAAGAAACAGTTCCATCCTGTTCTCCCAATTTACTAGCCTTCAATTGCAACCAGAAACTGGAAGTCTTGGATTGCTTTTCTGCATCAGGGTCTGGCCATGCTGAGAGTGGGGGAGAGGGTGGGTAATTTTAGATCTTTAGACTTCAAAGCCCAGATGATGGTCTACAGGCCGAATAAAAAAATGAATTAGCTTTTCTAGGCCATAGACTGCTCTGTATCTCAGGTCTCAAATCTATAAAGTGGAGTGAGAAAGACAAGATATGCATATTTAATAACAAGCTTACTTTAAAATCAGTTATGAAAAACCTATACTTCATATAATGAATGGGGTTTCAAATGCAAGCAAGAAAGAGTTTACCCACCAAAAGGGAGCGGCAGAGTAAATCCCAATGGAAAATTCGTGCCTTTCTGTGGTTGGAGTCATTTGGTCAAGAAATGATGAAATTACAAATTTCTGAAAAGGGTGTGTGTTTTAGAGTTACTGAGGTCCAGGTCTCAGCATGATATTCGGGCAAGGCCAGCATTTAACTCCAATGCAGAATAAAGAGGAGGAAGTGGTCATGACCAGCATTCTTTCCCACTACAGCAGCGCCTCCCTGGTCTAGTAATGCCCATTCGTCTCTCCATCTCATGCACTCGGAATCAAGCTCTCTCAGCAAACCTGTGCACCCATCATTCCCTGAGAGATAATCCGTCCTTGAATTCTATATGGGGATGGCTGGCAAAAAGTGAACTGCACTGCCCTTGCCCACACCCCAGCTATTGATTTCATTCCTTTCGGTAGCTAGGATCATCCATCTTGGACTGGCATGTAGGAAGAGAGGGAAGTAGACCCAGGAGAAACAGGCAGTCCAGGCCAATCTGTACTTTTGGCCCAAAAACACACAATGGCTAATGTATTCAGTCATCCAACAAACAATTCTTGAGTATCAGCTGAATTAGGATGAGAGCTAAGCTGCTTTGACAAAAGGCATACACTACACTGACACAGGCTTCATCTCTCTTCCCTGTTACATAAGATCGTTTGGTGACCCAAATTCCTTTCCTGTTGTTAATCTGCTTTCCCGTTGGGCAGCACTATTCAAAGTACGGTCCAGGGATGGACAGCACCAGGGACACCTGGGAGCTCGTTAGAAATTTAAATACTTAGGTCAGTAATTCTGGTGGTGGGCCCAAGAATCAGTGTTTTACCAAACTTTTCAGGTGATTCTTTTTTTTCTTTCAAGTTTTCTTATGGTGAAATACACATAACATAAATTTACCATCATAACCATTTTAAAGTGTACAGGTCAGAGGTATTACATACATTTACAATGTTATGCTCCATCGCCACCATCCATCCCCAGAACTCTTTTCATTTTGCCAAACTGAAATTCTGTACCCATTAAACATTAATTCCGATTCCCCTCTTCTCCCAGCCTCTAGAAACCACCACCATTCTACTTTCTGTCTATGATCTTGACTACTCTAAATATCTCATATAAGTGGCCTCACACAGTATGTCTTTTGTGACTAGCTTATTTCACTTAGCATATCTTCAAAGTTTATCCATGTTGTAACATCTGTCAGAATTTCCTTCCTTTTTAAAGATGAGAAATATTGCATGTATACAACACATTTTGCTTATCCATTCATCTGTCAGTGAACACTTGAAGTGCTTCTATGTTTTAGCTATCCTAGATAATAAAAGGCTAATATGCAAATAGATGGAACAGTGGAACAAGCAAACAACCAGTCACTATGACATGCGCTGACCACCAGAGTGGAGCAGGTGAGCGGGGGTGCCAGACCAAGGCAGGGCATCAGTCACTGTCATCGGGGTGAGCCTCTGGAGGTTACTGAAAATTCTTTGCTCCTGCGCGCTGCAGTCCCACCTGGTGTTCGCACCCGCTGCCGGCACTGGAGCCACTGCTTGCACCCACTGCTGGTTAGCAGGTGTGAGTGGCAGCTGCCGGCCCTGATCGCCCTCAGGGCTTCTCCACCTCCCCCTGCTCCTGAGGGGCAGTAGCCACTGCTCACATCCTCTGATGGTGCCAGCCCCAATCACTCCAGGCCGTCATCGGGTGTGAGCAGGGCCGGCGCTGTCAGCATGTGGGAGCAGTGGTGGTGGGAGCAGGACTGCTGGCAGACAGAGGACTGGGGGCTGCAGCAGGAGGGGCTGGGCGGGAGAGCGGAGGATGGGCCGAGACCCGCCCTTGTGCCCACTACAGCCTCCTGGCCCACGGTTCCTTTCAAGGTGCACGTATTTGTGCACTGGGCCCCTAGTTTTGAATAATGCTGTTATGAACATGGCTGTACTAATATTGTTTCAAGACCCTACTTTCAATTATTTTAGCTATATACCCAGAAATAGAATTGCTGAATCATATGGCAATCCTACTTTTAATTTTTTTAAATCATCATACTATTTCCACAGCTGCTGTGTCATTTTACATTCCTACCAAAAGTTCATAAGAGTTCCAATTTCTCTAATCCTCACCGACACTTGTTTTCTGTTGTTGTTTTTTGTAGTTGTTGTTTGTTTCTAATAGTAACCACCATAAAGGGTATGAGGTGGTGAATTATTGTAGCTTTGATTTGCATTTTTCTAATGATCAATGATATTGAGTATATTTTCATGTGCTTATTGGTCATTTGTATATCTTCTTTGGAGCAATGTTTATTCAAGTCCTTTGTCCATTTTTAAACTGATAAGAACAGATACTATACTTGATAGGCCAAAAGGCCGAGTAGTGATGTCCATTTTTGTTGTTGAGATTTAGGAGTTCTCTATATATTTGGATATGAATCCTTTATCAGATATATGATTTACAAATAATATTTCCCACCATGTATACTGTCTTTTTCCTTTGTTGATATTGTCTTTTGATATACAAAAAATTATTTTTTATAGTCTAATTTGTCTATATTTTTCTGTTGTTGCCTATGCCTTTGGTATCATATTAAGAAATCATTGTCGCCCTGGCCAGCTTGGCTCAGTGGGTAGAGCATCAGCCTGCAGACTGAAGGGTCCTGGGTTTGATTCCGGCCAAGGGCACATTCTCTCTCATCATTGATGTTTCTATCTCTCCTTCTCCCTTCCTCTCTGAAATCAATAAAGAAATATATATATTTTTTAAAAAGAAATCATTGTCAAATCCAATGTCATGAAGCTTTTGCCTAAGAAGGTCTCACATGAGATCTTTGATACGTATTGAGTTAATTTTTTCATATGGTGGGTAGGTAAGGGTCCAACTTCATACTTAGGCTTGAGAAGCCTTGGCCTCAAGCACTGTCCTCATTTACATGATCAAAGCTAGGTCTCTGGTATGTTTTTGTACCAACTATAAGAAAGAAAGATGAGAAAGTAAATCCAAGACAGCAATTCCTTTTAAGGATGTGAGGTGGGAAGTTGAACTCTTCACTTTTGCTCACATTCAATTAGTGAGAACTTAGACACTTGCCCACTCTAGCTGCCTGGGAGGCTGGAAAACGTAGTTTCTGACTGGCATCCTATGTACCTATCTACAATGGTTTATTATGAAAGGAGAGACTGTGTCTTAGTGAGCATCTAGAAGCCTTTGAGGTTCCTGTTATGTGCTAGGCATAGTGCTAGTAGGAGGAGATAATCCTCTTCAACAAGGCAGTCCATGCACTCAAAAGGCTGGTCTATAAGTTACTTCCTACTCATGCAATGATTAAATAATGGGGCCTAAGTGTGGTTGGTCCCTCAAACTAGAGTGTCTTAGATATGCAAGTCTCTCATCTTTTAAAAATGGTATTAATGTCTATGGACATTCACATTCTAATAAGGCCACCAATGACATCGCTCTAGAGTGAGGACTGGCATATTCTTGCCTATGGAACAAATCAAACCCATTGCCTATATTTGAAAATAAAGTTTTGTTGGAACACAGCCACACCTAATTCTTTTCATATCGTCTATGGCCGCTCTTGCACTACAGCAATTTAGTAATTTTAACAGTTTGTATGGCCCACAAGGATGACAATATTTACTAGCTAGACCTCTTCATAGGGAAAGTTGGCCAAGCCCTTCTCTGGAGTGAGGTTCACAAACCATTCTTGGTGGTAGGTACTTAGTAAAGGTCTTTCAGGTGGTTTAAGATAATCCGAAACACCCAAAGTTAGGCACCCCCATCACCAAGGGAGAAGAAAGAAGTGGGGTTAGGAAACTGTTTCTTCTAGGAATTGAATGCTAATTTAAATTTTCTTCTATTACCAAGCACTATGTTAGACATTTAGATATATTATCCTATTTAACTTTCTCAAGACTCCACAATGTAGGAATCATGGCTCAGTTTTGCTCTAAATAAAACAATATAGTTGATGTGTACATTTTGACTGGAGGGTCAAGGTAACCTCTATTCTAGACCCAACTTTTTAATTTATTAGCAGTTTGACATCTGGCAATTCATTATTCTTCTGTGTGGCTCCATTCCCTCCCTTTCAGAACATGAGAATAATATACCTGCTCCTCCTGTCTTACAGGGTTGTTGTGAGTAAAGTGAGATAAGTTATGTGAAAGAATTCAGTGAACTAATAGCAGGTAGCTGATGCTGCTTATACCCTAAAATATAGTGTCTTATAATGAGAACCAATTATTTTGCTTATGACTTTATGTGTTGGCCAAACTATGTGGTCTGGGCTAGCTTAGTTGATCATTGCTTGGTTCACTCATGCATCCATGATATGGCAGGTTGGGTAAGTGAATGGGTCATCCAGGATGGCCTCAATCACTTATCTGATGGTTGTCAAGCCTGAGGTCTGGATAACAGGGATGAGGGGTCATATTTATCTAATCATCCAGGAGGCCAGCTTGGACTTCTTCATGTGGCAGTCTCAGGGTTCCAAGAGAAGACAAGCTCCAATGTACACATGCTTTTCAAGTCCCTGCTTGTGCCACAATTCCTGACATGCTACTGGCTGAGCCCAGAATCAGGTGGTAGGGCATTCAGAGTTTCCTCGTAAGGAAGCACAGAAGGATGGATCCAGGGGAGGAGGAAAATGTGCGGCTATTTTTGCAATCTATCAGATTATAGCCAATCAGGGTAGTAGTGTCAGGTGTTCTAGCATTCGGTGGCCAACATCAAGATGGGAGCTGCAGTGTCTGTGCCCAATGGCAAGGCAGTAGAGCCTTTGCTGGAGCTATCCCACACTCTATTCTGGGTGTTATTCTCAGCTGAGTGGTTCTTTGGAACTGAACTGTCTGGCCTTCCCAAAGAGTCTGTGAGGCACCCAATAGCCTTTAATAAATTCTTTTTTTGTTATTGTTTAGACTAGCTTCCAACCTCAGAATCCTGACACTGAGAGTTTTCTAAGGCTGGAGCTCTGTAGCTTTAAATACCCATGCTGAAGAAGGCACACTTTTTTGGTTTTTGTTTTTGTGGGTTTTTTATTTTTTTCATGATTTTTGGGGCTTGTTGTTTTTTGTTGTTGTTTTTTTTTGCAAATAAATGTTTAGTTCACCTACCTCTATGTACGTATTTATATAACCCAGTTAGGTTTTAATACACAGACTCTGGACTATCCAACTATCAAAGCAGAAGGTTTGAGAAAAGAAGGAAAGCAAACTCCATTTCTTTCCACTTAGAAAAACAAGCACTTAAATTTTGTGTGAAAAATCTAAGCTCTCTAGCTCCACTCAGCGTCCTGTTGAACTTATGTGGCACCATATTCATTTGTAAGAGAATGAAATGAAAGTTGCTCACTGTAGTAGCTTCACTGTACAACCTTATTCTTTGGCCAATTTTCAATGGATATGTCATTTAAAAAATATTTTCAAACTAAAAACAGTAGAGAATAGTGGCCAAGAGTATGGGCTGTGAAGTTAGATAGGCCTGGATTTGAATCATGCTGCAGCTCTATACTTCCTCTGTGACCCTGGGGCTGTTACTCAGCTTTTCAGAGCATCCTGTGTAAGATGAGAATAATAAAAGTGTCAATCTCATAGTCATACTGTGAGGATTTAACAAAAATGTAAGACCTGGCTTCATCTGCCATTGGAGAATGACCCTTGGGAGTAATTTATTAAACCTGATGATACATTTTTAAATCAAGATTTTAAGTATAGTACTTTTGCCTGACTTCAGCAGTCATAAAAATAGCCATCGTCATTTTCCTTTTTTGTGATGCTAGTCATGTTATTTCCAGAAGTGGAGCATTTAGAAATACACTGAGTGGCCAGATTATTATGACCACCTGACGTTTGTAGGCAAATAGGCTATAATTTCCCACTGAAGCTGCTACAGGGCCAGACCATTATAAATGTCTGAATAGCACAACATACCTAAGTATCGTTGCTGATCAAGTTCATCCTATCATGTTGATGGCGTATCCCAATGGAGATAGCTTCTTCCAACAAGACAATGCGCCATGCCACGGTGCTCGTATTGTGCAGGAATGGTTTCAAGAACATGAGGGAGACTTTACCTTGCTTAAGTGGCCCCCACATCACCAGATCTCAATCCAATTGAGCATTTTGGGACGAAGTTAAAAGAGCCATCAGGCAGCTGGTTCCACAACCATCAAATCTCACAGAACTGAGCAGTGCTATTCATCAGGCATGGTGTCAGATTCCTCGCATCACTTTTCAACATCTCATGGAGTCCATGCCAAGAAGAATCGCTGCAGTATTGAAGGCAAAAGGTGGCCCAACGAAGTACTGATGGGGTGGTCGCAATAATCTAGCCACTCAGTGTATAGAAGTCTTCCTCTAAATCTCTCTCTCTCTTTTTTTTATTGTGGTGGAAAATGTACATTAACTTTAACATCTTAACCATTTTTAAGTGTACAGTTAAATAGTGTTAAGTATATTCACATTGTCATGCAATAGATCTCTGGAACCTTTCCAGCTTGCAAAACTGAAACTCTATACCCATTAAACACTAATTCTCCCTTCCCCTAGCCCTTGACAACCATCTTCCTAATTTCTGCTTTTATGATTATGAAATTTAGAGTCTCTATAATTTAGAGACTTCATATAAGTGGAATCATGCAATAATTGTCCTTTTGTGACTGGCTTATTTCACTTAGTGAAATGTCCTTGAGGTTAACCCATGTTGTAGTAGGTGCCAGCATTTCCTTCTTTGTTAAGGCTGAATAATATTCTATTGCATGGATATGCCACAGTTTCTCTTTCCATCCGTCAGTGAACATTTCAGTTGCTTCCATCTGTGACTATTGTGAATAATGCTACAATAGATGGGTGAGTAAGCATCTCTTTAAGACTCTGGTTTGGTCCTAACCGGTTTGGCGCAGTGGATAGAGTGTCGGCCTGCAAACTGAAAGGTCCCAGGTTCGATTCTGGCCAAGGCCATGTACCTTGGTTGCGGGCACATCCCCAGTAGGAGGTGTGTAGGAGGCAGCTGATTGCAATTCTCTCATTGATGTTTCTAACTATCCCTCTCCTTTCCTCTCTGTGAAAAATCAATAAAATATATTTAAAAAAATAAAAAATAAAAAAGACTCTGGTTTGAATTCTTTTGAATATATACCTAGTTGGATGGCTGGATCATATAGTAATTTTATTTTTAATTTTTTGAGGAACCTCTATACTCTTTACCATAATGGCAGCACCATTTTTATATCCCCACCAATAGTCACAAGGGTTCTAATTTCTCTGTATCCTTGTCAACACTTGTTATTTTACATTCTTTTGATAGTAAAGAATGTAATGGGGTGGAGGGACGGTGTTGACAAGGTATCTCATTGTACTTTTGACTTACATGTGTATAATAATTAGCGATGTTGAGTATCTTTTTATATGCTTGTTAGCCATTTGTGTATCTTCTTTGGAGAATTGTCTATTCAAGACCTTTGCCCATTTTTAATTGGGTTGTTTGTTGTTGTTGCTGTTGAGTTGTAAAAGTTCCTTATATATTTCAGATATAACTTCTTATCATTTTTATTATTTGCAAATACTTTCTCCCACTCCATAAGTTGGCTGCCTTTTCGTTTTGCTGTTTCCTTTATTGCACAGAGTTTGATAGTTCCATTTGTTTATTTTTGCTTTTGTCACCTGTGCCTTGTGTGTCATATCTAAGAAACCATTGCCAAATCCAATGCCCTGAAGATTTCCCTCTATGTTTTCTTCTAGGAGTTTTATGTACTTTTACGTCTTATTGTTAGATTTCTAATCCATTTTGAGTTCATTTTTATATATGCTGTAAAGTAAGGGTCCAACTTCTTTTATATGTGGATATCCAGTTTTCCCAGCACCATTTGTTGAAGAGACTTCCCTTTTCCCATTGTGTAGTCTTGGCACCCTTGTCAATCATTTGGCCATATATGCAAGGGTTTATTTCTGGGCTATTCTGTTCCATTTGCCTATATATTTGTTTTTATGCCAGTCACACATGGTCATGATCACTGTTGCTTTGTAGTATATTTTGAAATCAAGACCTGTGAGGCCCTCAACTTTGCTATGCTTTTTCAAGATTGTTTTAGCTATTCAGGGTCACTTGAAATTCACTTTTAGGATTTTTTTTCTATTTGCAATGACTGCAGTATTATATTCTTTTTTATGTTATAGTGAATGAGAAGAATTTCCTTTCATTGTTATTGTCAGTGTATAGGAACACTTTTGATTTTTGTGTGTTAATTTTGTATCCTGAAACTTTGAAATCATCTCTTAATTTTAAGAGTTTTTGTAGAATCTTTAGGATTTTCTACATATAAGATCATGCAATCTGTGACCAAAAATAATTTTACTTCTTCCTTTCTAATTTGGATGACTTTTATTTCTTTTTTGGTATCAGAATAATGCTGGCCTAATAAAAGGAGTTTGGAAGTATTCCCTCATCTTCAATTTTTGGAAGAATTTAAGAAGGATTGGTATTAATTCTGCCTTAAATGCTTGGTAGAATTCTCCAGCGAAGCCATCTGGTCCTATACTGTTATTGGGAGGCTTTTGATTACTGTGTTGTTCTCCTTACTAGTTATAGGCCTGTTTGGATTTGTTTAATTCTTATGATTCAGTGTTGGTAAGTTGTATGTTTTTAGGAATGTATCCTTTTTTTCTAGGTTATCCAATTTGTTGGCATATAATTATTAACAGTAGTCTTACAATTTTTTATTTCTGTGCTATCAGTAGTAATGTTCCCTCTTTCATTTCTAGATATGAGTCTCATCCCTTCTCTTTTCCTTAGTCTAGCTAAAGGGATTGCCAATTTTTTTATCTTTTAAGAAAAATCTCTTGATTTTGTTTTATTTTACATTTTCTATTTCATTTATCTCTACCTTAATCTATATTATTTCCTTCTCTGCCAACCTTCTTGTTTAGTTTGCTCTTTCCTAGTTTCTTGAGATGTTGTTAGGTTGATCTATTTTAAACATAAGCATTTGATACTATAAGCGTTCTTCTTAGTACTGCTTTCACTATATCCTATATGTTTTGGTACATTGTGTTTTCATTTTATCTCCAAATATTTTATGCATTCCCTTGTGATTTCATCTTTGGATCATTGTTTAAGAGTGAATTATTTACTTCCACATTTTAGTGGATTTCCCTGTTTTCTTTTATTTATAGTTTTATTCCACATGGTCAAAGAAGATATTTTATATGATTTTAACCTTAAGATCATTAAGGTTTGATTTGTAGTTTAACATGTCTTGGAATGTCCCATGTGAAGTTGAGAAGAATGTGTATTTACTCTGTTAGGTCCAGTTGGTCCAATTGTGTTGTTCAAGTTTTGTTTTCTTATTGACCTTCTGGTTGTTCTATCCATAATTGAAGGGGAGTCATTAAATTTTCCTACTCTTTTTTAAAAAATATGTTTTTATTAATTTTAGAGAGAGAAACATCGATGTGAGAGAGGGCATCAAGCCTGCAACTCGGGTATGTTCCCCAACTGGGAATCGAACCAGAGACCTTTTGGTGAAAAGGACGGTGCTCAACTGAGCCACATGGGCCAGGGCTAACATCTCCTACTCTTACTGTGTTGCTGTCCATTTCTCTCTTTAGTTCTGATAACTCATATATTTGGGAGCTAATCTCTCTTTAAATATGATAGGATTTGCAATTCTCATAGGGGTTATGTTTCACAATAGTGGAATGTAAATATTGCCTCAGGGAGATTGTATGCTCAACTGGCTGAAGATCTTCAGTGGCAATGAGGGCTTGGGCCACTGGAGCACTCTACTGCTTAAGAGGCCTTTCATATCTTCCATATCTCTCTCCATGACCCAATGTGGCTTCTGTGTACTCCTCCAACCCTATTTCATAATGCTTCACTGCTCATTGCTGTGCTCAAGCTACCTGACTGTAGCTGTTATGATTCTTAACCACCCTTTTCTGCTTCAGCACACACGTGTTTATACATGCATGTGCATTCATGTACACACAGACACAAACTATATTATTCAAGGTTTAGTATATATGAAAAATTTTCAAAGATTTCCATAATCTTCCTGATCTTTGGTGGCTTTTCATCATATAAAATGGCTTTACAGACTTTAAAATATTTTTTGTTAGGAAAGTATATTGGTCAACAAGTATAAGATATATGTTTGTTAGCCTGATTGATATATTACAATATTTGGACAAATAGTATGTGTCTCTCCGTTGAAATCTTATACTGAGCCTCACAGATGTTCAAGATAGTCCTTGAGAGAAGTTATATGAACAGAATTATTATAGCAGAACATTGAAAGTATCTATTTTTTTCTTTGAAACATTATGTTCTATACAAATGATGGAACAGTACTTATCCAAGATTGTTTGAAGCCTATGAAACATGGAGAAATACTTATGAAGAATACAAAATGGAATGCAAATTTAGAATATATCTATGTGAAAAATGCACATAGAAATAAATGAAATAGTCCACAGGATGGTAGGATTAAGGGATCTTCTCTACTCATTTTCAAATTTCAAAATATTTGTACTGCTACATTTAGCTCTATGATTTGAATAAAAAGCAAGAATACAACTCACTAAGTACCTATTTCCACACCAGTATAGCCGTTGCTAATGGAGAAATGTCCTAGCTGACAGGTGGCTCGGCCTCATTGGCCTTCCTGTCCACCAGCAACAGATTTCCTTCTCACTTCATAGTGGGAGGATAGCCACAGAGCACAGTACAGATTAAGATCAAATATCTGGACAAGAAATATTTTAAAGAATAAGTCTGTAAAAATGGACAGTTTAGCACTCCAGAGAGGTAAATTTGTGAAATGCTGTAGAGTAACTTTGCATGACATTGCCAGCTTCATGAATTCAATTCTCCTGCCACTGAAGAGGAGACAAGGGAACAAGCAAGATCCAGCATCGGTAAGTCACAGGGCTCTGGGGGAGCCTGAGTCACAAGAGGTGAGCAGAGATTTGGGAGACAATGAAAAGAGGGGAAGGTAGGGCGGGTGCTGGAGGGGAGGACGAGTGCTAAGGCAGAGCCTTGACAGGGTGCTCGTGTCTCTGAAAGCCTGTATAAAGTTCTGTGCGGTCCCCCTGACAAATCTTAGAGAGAGCAAAAGTGGGGGCAGGAAGTTCAACTGGAAGATGGTTGAAATCTTTAAGCAGGGAAAAGATGAGGGTCTGAGTGGTGAAGATAAAGAGATGAATTTTAAAGGTCTGAGGAGAGAGAATCAACAGGACTCATCAGAAGTCAAGGCTAACAGCCAGGATGGTGGCTGGGCGCCTGAGTGTGTAAGTAGGACCAACACTGCCAGATAAGTCTCTAGAAACCAACAAGGACTTGGGATTAGTTTATATTTTAGATTTAATACTATCTGCTTTATTCCTAGGTTACAATCCCATGGGGATCATGATAATTTATATTTATATTTTATGTTTATATAAGCTGATCTCTGTTACATAATTAAAGGAAAAAATCCCACGATCAATTCCAGGCCCTTTTAGATATGACCTTTTGTACATAGACATAAGTTTGCAGTCAAATCCAGGGGCATTTATGAATAAATAGTGACCTCCAGTGTTTGGGTGCAGAAATAAAGATTATAAAAAAATCAACACTCCTGGGAGAGTACTTGGAATTCCAACTACAAATAACATTTCCTACACTTCAATTCAGAACCCTGGGGTGCTTCAGCAATAAAAATACTGTCTGGCTAACTGTTGGCCTATGGCTGCCTGGACAACTCCTAATGAATATTCTACAGAACACGCGTCAGAATGGATTAAGTGGCCTCAATCATGGGCGCATAGCTATGTGATGGCCTTTGTCCTCTTTGCTCTAAGGTCCAGGTTCAACTACTCCAAAGAAATGAAGTGAGGGTAGATTTATTGCAATAAATTTGACTAATACAAATTCCAGCTCTGTCTGATTCCACCTAAGTCAACATTACATTAAATAAAGTTTCCTCTCCAGTAGATTCCAGGCAGCGTGGTTGGTGGATATTCCCTTTTTGAATAGCTGTGTGGCTAGAGCAAGTTCATGAGAAATTCTTGTAAATTCTCTGCACCATAACAACTCCTTCAACTGGAGTTGCTTCATCGCGAGGAAATAACCATCTCACATCTTGGCCAATAGTCGCTGCAGTTGCTGTCAGGTGGCATCTATTTTCTGCAGACGGGAAACTAGGTGCTGGCTCTTTGGAGACATGCTTCTGTCCCATTCTATGCTAAATTTAAAAAAAAAAACACGTGGCTTTGCAGAGAAGAAAAGAACAGGGTGAGCACTGAAGTTGACTTGAAAGGCTAGAGCTTCATGAAAACAGCATCTTTTTCATGAACCTTGTTTTTAAAGTGAGAAGAGACTTAGTGGCCAAGCACAACATCAAAGGCAAATCTTTAATGCCAACAGAATTCATTTGACTTGTTTTGGGCAATGAGAAGCTCTCCCTTCAGGCAATTAACCCTCAGCATTCTTAGTACAAAGGTGCGTGGAGGAGCAGTAGGAACCATGGATTCAAGTTGTGCTATGACACAGAGCAGAGTGACACAGGGAAACTTCCGAGGTGGCTGCTTCAGGGACCTGAAATTCAAGGAGACAGAGGCCCAGAAATTAAGTACAGTTTAGGAGCCAAATCATGGCATTAAGAAGGGATACGATCGTGGGCTGCCTGTGCCCTGGTCATTGATAGTGCAGGGAGAGGAACTGCGAAAGCATTTCCCCGTGTTTGGAGGGTCCAATCATGTCCCTTCCAAACCCTGGTGCTTTCGGACATGTAAAAAAAAACAAAGAAGGGATACGACCCTACAACACAATTTGCTCAACCATAAGGCAATGGCAATCACAATCTTGCTCCTGATTTGTTGTAGCCACAGACAAGCTTACTGTTGGTGTAGCCCAAACATAGTAGAAATAAAAAGAGTATACAACTTATCTCTTGACAATACAGATTTTAAAGTTTTTTCAGCCCTGGCCGGTGTGGCTAAGTGATTAGAGCAGGGGTCCTCAAACTTTTTAAACAGGGGGCCAGTTCACTGTCCCTCAGACCGTTGGAGGGCCGGACTATAGTTAAAAAAAAAACAACTATGAACAAATTCCTATGCACACTGCACATATCTTATTTTGACGTAAAAAAACAAAACGGGAACAAATACAATATTTGTATTTGCATGTGGCCCGCGGGCCGTAGTTTGAGGACCCCTGGATTATAGTGTCAGCCACACACCAAAGGGTTGTGGGTTCAATTCCTGGTCAAGGGCACATACCTGGGTTGCATGTTTGATCCCCGGCCTCGTCCCTGGGTACTTGTGGGAGACAACCAATCGATGTCCCTCTCTCACATTAATGTTTCTTTCCTTCTTTCCCCACATTCCCTCCCTCCCTTCCATTCTCTCTAAAATATCAATGGAAGAATATCCTTGGGTGAGAATTAACAAAAATAAATATTTTTCCTAACCTGACAAGGCCTAAGATTTCAAAAAGAATAAAAAGTACAGAAACCAGTCACCTTTATCCAGACATTGCATATAAGACAAGTTTGTATGATTGTATACTTAAAGTTTGTTTTAGTCAATTTTTTTCTTCTTGTCATCATTTTTCTTGATTTTATTTTTAAAACTTTCAAACTTACAGAAAAACTGGACAAACAGTACAATAAATACCTAATTAAGTTTCAAATGTTGAAGCACAAATCCCCAACGTGATGGAATTCGGAGGTGCGGCCTTTGGGAGGTAATTAGGTTTAGATGAGGTCAATGAGGTTGGATCCCCTATGATGAGAATAGTGCTCTTATAAGAGAAAGACCAGAGTCCCCTCTTTCTCCACCACGTGGGAATACAGCAATAAGTCTACCTGAAAACCAGAAGAGGGTCCTCATAGGCACCAAGTCTGCCAGCACGTTGATCTTGAACTTGCCAGTCTCCAGAACTGTGAGAAATAAATGTTGAATACCACCTAGTCTGTGGTATCTTTTATAGCTGCCTGAGCAGACTAAGACAAATGTTCTATAATCCATTATCACACTTTTTTTTCTTTAGTCTCAAATTCTCCCAAATTTGGCACTTGAAGCCAATTTTTGTGTCCCATCAGTCTTTGGGCATTCTCTTCTTTTCTGACTCAAGATGTTCCAAACTCACCTTACACTTTATTTACCTCAAACATGAAATCAACCAACATTTTGGTTCTGTGGAAAAGTATTTAGAAAGCAAGACCAAGGGAACTAGGTATGCTCATTATTACTAGGTTAGTGCTTCTAGGACTAGAGGATGAAGCCAGATCTAGGAGAGGGGAAGGGAGGGGTAATATTGTGATGAAAGAGGAAAATACGTACACCTACACACACATTCACACAAATATCTCCAGTTCAAAACCAATAAAACCGGGTTCTTTAACTTCTTTCATTTTGCATCTCCCTTCTTCCATAGTGAGTAACCTGATTTACAATAACATCAACAAATATGCTCATTTTTAAACCTACAAAATTATTCCAGGGTTACTTATTTAAATCAGTCTCAGAAACATTTTCATCTTTAAAGTTGAATTTAGCATCAGTCACCAAATCATCCCACAGTGTTCTGCCGAAGTCACACATCATAGACTAACAGCAAGCAGAGATAATTAACTATACACAAGTCAAGACTCAAACTGGACAACTAAGCAAGGGCTGCCTTTGGTTACTCTAGAGAACCAAAAAGGACAGAGTTCAGAACAGATGACTGAAGGCTTCCATTTCCACTTGTCAAAGATTATGTAAGCCATTTTCCTTTTCCAAATTTATCCTGTGTGATGTTTGGCAGTTGTTTCAAAATAATCCAGTAGGGTGGGAGGAAGAGTGAGGAAACAGCCTATCTTTAAAATATTATCAAAGGAATTTACATTATTTTTGGCAACTTAAGGTTCTAGTGTCTTAAAGACTAAAGTGTAATAGCTAGATTACCCTGCAATAAATAAAAGATTTTACCAACTGTGGATTGGAAAAAGAGTGACTTTAATCCTGCCTATCATTTTGCCAAATAACTCTGTCATTACAGAGAGATTGAATAATTAAAATATTCTTATATTTTGTGTTTCCCATTCCCTTTGGGATCAGTGGTTTAAATTCCCTCATAGTCCAATGTGAAAACCCTCAAGCCACAGCATAATGAGGTATCTGCCACAGCCAGATTTGCTGAGGCAAGGCCTGATTTAATACAACAAATGGTGTTATACAAGGGAGCCAAAAACTTGCAAAATCCAATTATGCAAAACACAAAAACAGGAGACATGAACAAGATCTGCAACAATATTGGTGTATTTCTGAGGGAAGAACATAAGAAAGCTTTTCTAGGTAAGAGGGAAGTTGAACTTTGAAAACGGACATCACTTTTAAAGCATAAGAATGAATTAAAAATGTCTAGAAGACAAACATTGATGTGCATGAGTAGAAATTGCATTTTCATAAATTTGTCATAATCCAAGGTGAGAAATAATCTGCAAAAGAATCTAATCTAGTTGACAGATATCAAGCTATATTACAAAGCCACTGTCCTGAAAACTGCCAGGTACTAGCACAAGAATAGACATATAGACCAATGGAACAGAATACAGGATCCAGAAATTGACCCAAGCTATTATACTCAGTTAATATTTGACAAAGGAGGCAAGAGCATACAATGGAGTCAAAACAGTTGCTTTAATAAGTGGTGCTGGGAAATTTGGTCAGATACATGCAAAAAAATGAAACTAGATCACCAACTTACACCATACATACACAAAAACAAACTCAAAATGGTTAAGGACTTAAACGT